ATGTGGTGCACCCCTGCAGGGAAGTTAATCTATTCGAATAGCTGTGATCTTCGGTAACAGGACGACTTGGAGTTGTACCTTGACCTTATGACAACTAGAACCGGATACTTAATAAAACACACCCTTCCAAGTGCCAGATACAACCGGTGGTCGCTCTACCTCAGGGATATGAGGAGGGGATCGCCGGGTAGGATTATGCTATGAGATGTTACTTGGAGATGCTACTTGGAGGACTTCGACCTACCCTCTTCTGCCTGTTGCAAGACGAAGGTGACCAGAAGCGTAGTCTTCGATAAGACTAGCTATCCCCCTCTTATTCTGGCATTCTGCAGTTCAGTCCACTGATATGGCCCTTTACACATATACCCATGCATATGTAGTGTAGTTCCTTGCTTGCGAGTACTTTGGATGAGTACTCACGGTTGCTTTCTCCCCCCTTTTTCCCCTTTTCCTTCCTTTCTGGTTGTCGCCACCAGATGCTTGAGTCCAGGAGCCAGACGCCACCGTCGATGACGACCCCTACTACATCGGAGGTGCCTACTACTACGTGCTGCCCGCTGACGACGACCAGGAGTAGTTAGGAGGATCCCAGGCAGGAGGCCTGCGCCTCTTTCGATCTGTATCCCAGTTTGTGCTAGCCATCTTATGGCAACTTGTTTAACTTATGTCTGTACTCAGATATTGTTGCTTCCGCTGACTCGTCTATGATCGAGCACTTGTATTCGAGCCCTCGAGGCCCCTGGCTTGTATTATGATGCTTGTATGACTTATTTTACTTGTAGAGTTGTGTTGTGATATCTTCCCGTGAGTCCCTGATCTTGATCGTACACATTTGCGTGCATGATTAGTGTACGGTTAAATCGGGGGCGTCACACTAGGCTAAGGCCGACGGTGGTGGAGGACATAGGCAGTGCTGTCTAGCAGTTTGCAGAGACAATTCACAGGCATGGATGCAACGAACATGGCTGGGATATCGAGGAGGCGACAAGGTGGCGACAACAGTCTCCGTCGCCAGTCCATACATGTCGGCTATGTAGGTGTTTCCTACGCCATCTCCAGGTTTGGCTGGTTCAATTCCTCGCAAAAACAGACCTCCACGACCACCGAGCGGAGCTACCTGGCAGCGAGCTCGTCAGTGATGAAAAAGCTGATTCCAGCACCGGCAAGCGAGTAGAAGCTGTGAGAGAGGATGGGGATTGTCAAATGGTCGCATGAAAAGGTTCCCTCATAGGGGGTTGGATGGCGGTGATGAGGGCAGTGGGTCGGTGCCGAGAGGAAGGTGGGACGACTGACTATTTTATTGACAATTTACCGCTTTGGACTAAATTTAGTAGGGATAACTATGTTTTGAAGGATGAAAATCAATTTTTGAGGGATTATTGGTTTGAGGTGTTTGCTAGCGAGGACTTAATTCCTCAAAAAAATATCCCAAATATAACTATTAGGGCATCTATTAGAGATGAAATAAGGGCTTATCCAGTTGCAATCACCAAATGAACACTATCAAATGTCCTATCAAATATCCTCTCGGCAGTGGGTCGGTGCCGAGAGGAAGGTGGGACGACTGACTATTTTATTGACAATTTACCGCTTTGGACTAAATTTAGTAGGGATAACTATGTTTTGAAGGATGAAAATCAATTTTTGAGGGATTATTGGTTTGAGGTGTTTGCTAGCGAGGACTTAATTCCTCAAAAAAAATCCCAAATATAACTATTAGGGCATCTATTAGAGATGAAATAAGGGCTTATCCAGTTGCAATCACCAAATGAACACTATCAAATGTCCTGTGAACACGTCCAGGCCAGCTTGTCCGTGAACACCAACCATCCAACATGTCCCTCAAATGACTCCTCATTTCAAACAGTTCAAACGCAAATTAAGGACGGAATTTAATCTAATATGACATATTACATGCATATTTGATAAAAATTAAAAAGTTTGATCCAAACTAATCTAAATTTAGCTAAACTAAACGAAAACCTAAGTTAAGTACTAGACCGTGACCTCATAGGCATGGCCTCCGAGACCGACGGCACCACCGTCATTGTCGCCGCCTATGTTGTTGTTGTTTGTCGCAACGCCAATTAAGGAAGCCGACTCCAACCGTGGTGGCATCCATCCCCGGCCGCACATCGCGCTCGTGGCGCAGAAGCTCGTCTGCCTCTCCTCGACTTGAAGGTAGATCTCGTGCTCGGACTCGGCCAACCCGACGTAGAGGAGCTGCCCGTTCGGCTGGCAGCAAGTGTCCGTCTCTTTGATTGACTTGGACCGTCGAAGTCCCAAGCCTCTACGAGGACGAGACACCATGAAGGTATGTTGTGCGACAACTTTGGGAGAGGGGAAGAGTGGATGGGCATAGGGTTTGGGGGAGGCCGGCCAACTTTGAAGCTGGAGTAGGTTTCTCAGGTGGCATGCCGTACCAACATGATTTAATTTGGGTAAGTGAGTGGCTGGTGAACCTATGTGAATGCGGCGAGGTTTCTAGAACCGACCAGGGTTTTGGGTGGGATCGGATTGTCGGAAACCTGCGTAGTGGACGCCCTGACTCCCCAAAACCAACCTTTGATTTGGAGTCTGTCCTAAGGGATTTTGGAAGTGCCAACCAATCTGGCCGAAAACAAGATGTGTTCGAAATTCAAGACTTAAAAAGCATACGAACCATTCAATCCAAAGAAAAAGGGACGATTTGGTAATGCGCCTTAACCATGCGGATTCTTATCGTTGAGGTCCAAAATTCAAGTCTCCTGTCTCTTTCATGCTTTCTCACAAACGGATTAAAAATAGATTATTTATTTTTGAAGTTAGGTTGCATGTGGTGGAACCAACCCATCGGGGTTCAAGTCATATACTTAGCGTTGGTGGTCACATTTTTTAAATTTATTTCAGGCCTTCCGGCGTTGTTGAAGGCATCTATGACGACTTCATCAATCTCATGTTGATGTGTCGACTCAGTCTCTCTCTGAGGCGCTCATAAGTGGTAGAGTGTGTGTGCACGCGTTTATTCGTAGGAATGGATGCATGTGCGTATGAGTATTTGCGTCTGTACTATGTTGAAAAAATTACTCCCTCTGTTTGAAAATATTTGTTGCAGAGATGGATGAGATGTGTTTAAGTTTTAGATATATCTATTTTTATTCATTTCTCCAACGGGTATTTTGGGACGGAGAGAGTACCATACTTTTTTTGTACATTTGAAAATTCATACTACCCGGTACGCACGGGATGGACCGTGAAGCCGGTCTCCAAAAGAAAAGGAAAAACTACGCGACGTGTCTTGCGTTTTTCTTGGGCGTGTTTTTCTTGGCAAAGCCAATGTTGCATTTCCGGATGACTCGCATACCGCCCCGTCATCCTCTTTTCTCTCTCTGTCCCTGCCATGGCACGACGCCGTGCCGTGCAGTGCCAGCAGTCCGACCAAATCATAGCCTAATCACACCGCAAACCACGTAAGCCCGCGCCCTGGCCGCTCCAGTGGTGCTGCGGGTATAAATTATTCTGGCAATGGAGCCATGGACTGAGAGCTAGAAGCTAGGTAGTGAGACATCTCTCTTCCCCGTGCACATCTCCATCTTCGTCAATTCCTTGATCAAGCCGAGCCGCGCCGCGCGCGTATGGCGTTGGAGGCCGTGGTGTTCTCGAAAGGGTTCTTTGGGCGCTGCGCCATGGCTGCCGAAGGAGTAGGAGGAGGCGGTGGAGTTTGGGGCGGGAATGAGCACGGGCACGGCGGTGGCGTGGAGTTGGACGGAAGCAACGCCCACTGCGGCGCCGCGGTTGCGAGCGCCTCCGTGATGATCCCGAGCGCCGAAGTCCCGGAAGGCAGTTCCTCCTTGCTGGCGCTGCCGCCGCCGGGGCACGGCGGTGACCGTGGAGACGCGGACGACGGTGCCGTGGGCGCGGCGTCGGCGTCAGGTGCGGCAGGGAGGAGGAAGCGGCGAAGAGCCAGGAGCGTAAAGAACATTGAGGAGGCGGAGAGCCAGCGGATGACCCACATCGCCGTCGAGCGCAACCGCCGCAAGCAGATGAACGAGTACCTTGGCGTGCTCCGGTCCCTCATGCCGGCTTCCTATGTGCACAGGGTACGTATTCCTTAGCTCATTTTTGAAAATTTGGATGTAATTTTCAGGGAGTACTTATTTCGAACTTGATCGATCCAAAGTCAGAGCACATAGTATCTATTGTGATTACGAACAGGGCGACCAGGCATCCATAATTGGCGGCGCGATCAACTACGTCAAGGAGCTGGAGCAGCTAGTTCAATCCCTGGAGGCGCACCGGCACGCCCGCCTACGCGACGACTGCCCCGTCAGCGGCGACGTCGATTCCGCCGCCGCAGTGCCCTTTGTAGACTTCTTCACCTTCCCGCAGTACACGATGAGCGTCCGCCACGCCCCGGCCACACCAGCAGCAGACGCCTCTGCGGACGGCAGCGGCGGCAATGCCGACAACGACGGGACGTCGGGCTCGAAGCAGTCGGCCGTGGCGGACATCGAGGTGACCATCGTGGAGAGCCACGCGAGCCTGAAGGTGCTGTCGCGGCGGCGGCCTAGGCAGCTGCTGAGGATCGTGGCGGGGCTGCAGGGCCACCGGCTCGCCGTGCTGCACCTCAACGCCACCAGCGCCGGCCACATGGCGCTCTACTGCCTCAGCCTCAAGGTACGTACGTACCACAGACTCCCCATGCTAGCTAGCTGTAGCCGTTTCTTTTTCGAGACCGTTCGCTCGCTTGGCAGCGCGCGCGTGACGCCGAAACAACTAACTTGCCTCGTTTTCCGCGCCCTTGTCCGGGACGGCTCCTCCAAAACATCACACCTCCGCGTGTTTCACCGCAAAGATGAAGCTGCATTATTGTTTTGACGCTAGATGAAGTGCTGCATGGATTGACTGCCGTAGTACGACTGCAGGATCATCGAACGTCCATTTCTTTGTGTCGTAGCCTCGTAGTACGTAGCAAATGAATTCATGTGAGCCGCTCTGTGTCTGGTTGATGATGCCATGCATGATGGCCGCAGGTGGAAGACGACTGCCGGCTCTCGTCGGTGGACGACATCGCGGCGGCCGTCCACCGTATCGTCGAGACGATCGAGCGTGAGGAGGAGGAGGAGCAGCGGCGGCGGCAGCAGCAGCAGAGCTGTACGTAGGTAGCTAGGCATTGGCATGTTAACAGTTCACGAGCTGCTCCTAATTACGACTAGTAAACAAGATCTAGAAGTACTTGCAGACTGGTAGGCTCTGCAGCTTGATAGCTCTCTATGTAATTGTAATGTACCTTTATGTACTCTCTGCCTATGTACCTATGCATGTCCTACGCATCTCTCCGCGTGTTATCTGGTTGTGCGTGCACGGCATGGGCAGGAGCGGGGTTTCCGTCCATGCCCCACGCGCCCCCGACCGCCGGAGCCTTGTGGGCATCATGTTGTACGGTTGACACTACGTGGCCACGATTCACATGCATGTACAATTAAGGCTTACTACTTGGTTCAGTACGTACCTATAATCGAAGGAAAAAATGATCAGTATAATTTTTAATGTTATTTTACTTTTTACTGACCGTTTTCTTTGATAATTATCAAATCTAATATGTCTTTTGGGGTAAAATAATACATTCGACAACCCCATATTTTGTAAAAACCAAATGTTGCCAAAGTTGGAATGTTTTTTTAAATGGTCAAATAATTGGTAGCCAACCAATTGGTATCCAATGTTTAGATTTGCCAATACATTTTTTTTTTTTGAGAACGATTTGCCAATACATTGGTATGCTAAATATCGGCATCAAACGAGCTACAATTGGTTAAATAAAAAAATTACTTTTTATCCTAGTTGGTTTCCACTACGGAACTGCTCCACACACGACACTGTGTGTACGATGAGTGCACGACCAAAGGATCCAGCGGCCACTGCTCAGCTGTGCTCGAGATTCCTCAGCTCGATTTAATCGTCGTGCATGAGTCGTTCAAACTTTGTCGTCCCCATAGCATTGCTCTTTCCACTACTAAGGATCGTTCCAAGTTTTTGAAACACTCCAGTTTTACTTCTATTCTGTTTGGTGGTGCTATGGAAATGCACTTTCACTCCATTTCTGCATGGTCAATGGTGTTTTACCAATTTCTTTGTTCAAAATATCCCTAAGTAGCCGGCGGATAGGCTCCCTCTATATACTACTCCCTTCGTTCCGAATTACTTGTTTTGGATTTGTCTAGATACGGAGGTATCTAGCACTAAAATAAGTCTAGATACATCTGTATCTAGACAAATTCAAGACAAGCAATTCGGAATGGAGGGAGTAGGTCACTTGCATGTGGGACTCATCTCTTCCAAAGGGAAGAAATGGGGAAAGGTAAAAAAAATGGGAAAAACTTCATCTCTCCCTTCCTTCCTCTCTCCGTCATCATACCCCCACCACACATGTCCTCTCGATCGCCCTTCTTCTTTCCACTATGACATCATCACCGTGCGGACGGGAACGACAATGCATACAGGCAAAGGCACAGCCCGACGGACTAGTCGAACATGTTGTCCTTCACCGCGCCAATGCATGTGGGGTGAATGACAGTCAACTCCGAACGACCGCAGTTGTACTGTAGCACAGAGAGGGCCGTGTGATGGTGCCGAGGATCAACGGGGTAGAACATGAGGCGCGAGAGGTCTTGGTGATGCCCAAGCAGAGATGAATTGACCCCTATCTCTGTAATTGCCTTGGCTGACTTTGTTTTCCATGCCTGGTCGATTGCCACGAGAAATTTGTCGCCGCGGTAGGTCCTAGCGCCCGTCTGTCCGTCTTATAGCACTACTTTGAGCTTCTAAATCCGCCAACGTCCTTCCCTAGCAACATTGCATCGTCAACTGTTGAAAGGATATTCCTAGGTGCGTTCATAGGGATAAGTGTGAGTGCACATATATGAGGATCTATATTCTATTGTGCTTTAAAAGTGAAATAATTAAGAAGCAACGCCAAATAATCGACTTGTAGAAAAAGAGTTTCTAGGGGTTTTTCATGTCGCCGCAGGTAATGATAACTATTCTAAACCAAATATATCATAATAAGAACATCGTCCCCGCCAGTTACTTTGTGTTCCGCATTCATATCAACGATCCCACCGGCCGTGGGGTTAAGAGCCTGTAACCCCTAGCAAAGATGTTATGCGTTTTCCCAACAGATGGGCTAAGCTCCCCGCTAAATCCGAGCAACACGGCGTCACAAAAGGGATTTCAAGATTTGGCGACAAAATGGTACTTCCTCCGTTTCATAATGAAGTGGGCATATAGATTTTTTTAGAGAAGGCAAACTTTATAATTTTTGACCAAGCTTATAGATAGAACTACTAATATCTACAATCATACTTCTCATGATATGAACGTGCGACTATGTCCGCTGAGTGCGACGTGCGCTGGCGTGTCTCCTTCGCACCGGACCTCGCTGCGGCATGCACTGTCAACTTCGCCGACGGGGAGATCCTTCTTCGACGGGGGGCCCTCCGGCTCGTGTTGATCGACCAGAGGGGGGTCACGGTGGATGCACGCTTCCTTCGTGAGGGCGAATGCCCCGACATCGGGCAGGTCGTGTCTTTCCCGTGTCATTTCGCGAGGGTTCACGATCGGATTCCGGCGAGCGCCCCGGCGGTACACGGGGATGCGGCTCGTTCCGGTGGGGACGGAGCGTACGCGCCGGATCGTCACGATGCGGGTCGGAGTTCCTGGGCCCCAGGCATCCTGGGTCCGCACCCGGGTGTGGTGCCGCCGCCCCCGCGGATGAGAGACACGTGGATGGAGATCAAGGGATCCATGGCGGGGAGACCAGCGATGCGAGGGGTACAAAACTCCGATCCCGTGCGGCTCGCCCCATTCTTGACCTAGAAGCCGCCCTCTCTCATCTCTGGGCGGCGCCACAAAACCCTAGATCGAAAATCTCATCCTCCTTCCAGTGGTGGGAGGGGAAGATTGGAGGTGACCACAGATTGTTCGTGGAGGTGGTAGCTTCTTCACCAAGAGCTCTGGCGATGGAGGAACACGGCGGCCACGGATTCCGTGGGAATCGGTGCGAGGGCTTCGGATCTGGACGGATGGGGCGCGGCGCGGGTCGCTTCGACCGAGGGCGCGGGAGAGGTCGCTTCTCCTGGTCCAGGGAGGCGGACGGCGACGACCACTCCACCAACAAGCAAGCGGCGTCGGCGACGGACGACACCGAGCGCTGGGACGATGCGGCGGATCGAGCCAAGCGGGCCAGATCGGGGGGGTTTGGGTGGAGAAAAACCCTAATCCCACTGGATCTGAGGCGACGAATTTCAGAAAAAATCAAGTCGTCCCCAACGATCAGTGCGCTGGTTCTTCTGTTCAGGTGACCCCAACCAATGCTCATGAACCTTGCATGATCTGCAAAACTTCAACTCATGCCCCTGTTAGTTGTCCGCAAGCTTTTTGCGAGAGATGCAGTAAGATGGGTCATTTAGCATTAGTTTGCACTACTTTTTTACCTTGGGAGTGTGTGGCACCCATGTGTGCTTTCCAAGCCAAAGGGCAGGGCTTCTTTTACATTCCTGATTCGTGCACAGCTAAGCAGCTCAAAGAGAGAGCTACTGGTGTGGTCATTACTGTGATTGAAGGAAGTGCTACTGTTAAGGAGTTAGAAGATGCTTTCTCTGATTACATAGGAACCAAATGGCATTGTACTGCTCGTCCCATTGGACCCCAGACCTACGTGATGCTCTTTCCGAATCAGAGAGATGTTAAGAAAGCTTGTTACAATGACAAAATGACGCTTAAATCTTGCGGTGTGGTAGTGAAAATTGTTCCATGGACGGCCAATATTGGGGCCAAGGGTGTGATGGAAACTGCTTGGGTTAAAGTTATCAATGTGCCTCTGGAGAGAAGGAATGAGAGAAACCTGGCTTATGTTTCCTCATTGGTTGGTGTTCCTTTGGAAATCGACATGGCCACCCTACATAAGCCTGAATACGTACGGGTCCGGCTTGGTTGTCGCAACATTGATGAACTCCCTGAAGTGGCTGAAGCTGTGCTTGGAACACATTTTTTTGATTTCTTTTATGAGATAGAGAAGATCTTGGTTCGAAATCCTGAAAGACAGATAGGCACATCCCAAGTGGATACTGCCAAAAAAAACATACCTATGGGAAAACAGACTCCAAACAAAGCTGATCCCAAGGTCTCAGAAAAAGAGAGAGGTTGGGAGTCCAGCAAGTGTGACATGTCTGGGAAAACTGCTCCTACAGATGTTATTGATGGAGAGCATGAGGAATCAGATGAGTCAGAGGAGGATAATACCCTGCTTATTGAGACTATTGCTGAAGAGACATATAACAAGGAAGAGGAAATGAGATCTCAGGCACTCCTGGTTGTTGATAACAACAGGATATCTGCTGATGAGATCCAGGTATGCATTGATAGTTCATTTCATGCTGATGTTGACATCCAAGTTGAAAAATTGTCTCATACGGAGGTGGACAACTCATGTGTCCAGGTTGAAGAGATTGAAGGTGACCTAGAAGACAAGATGCGGGAAAAAGTGGAGTATATGGTACAGTACCCTGCCTCACCTGATGATATGGGGGAGGTGATACCTACTCCTCCACTTATATCTGAAGATGTGATAAGATTCAGCATGAGGAATTTGCAGAACATGGCTGGCAAAATGCAGGACAGGGCTGTGACTTTATCTAAGAAGAGAAATTTAGAAGGTACTCCCTCATGTCATAATTCTTTTGACGTGCTCACAAATAATGATCTTATGCTTAGGGCATCTAATATGGGCGTGATTATACCTGACTCTAATTTCTCTAGTGTGGATATCCTTAGAGAATTAGAGAAAATGAGGGGAAATAATAGTGATGTACATGCCCCCTCCTCTAACAATCAGGATGGGGACTGTGTGATGTATATCACTAATGAAAAGGGTGATCAAACTTCAGTTAGCACTGAATGGGGGGATGAGGGGGATGACCCTGAGGCCAATTTTATTTTAGTAAAATCCAGGAGGAAAAAAAGCCCAAAGGTTAAAATTGCTATATCTAGACTTGTTACTAGAAGTCAAAAACCTAATATGGGCAAAGATAATACCAAAACTGGCAGTCCTGTCCATCATTACAGGGCCACCAGAGGGGGGAGAGGGAGGAAAAGTCATTGT